TTTTCAGAGTGGTTGGCAGAGATTTATATCCGTGAGATCGTTCGCCTTCATGGTGTGGCCGTGTTTATCATTTTGGATCAAGGTACAAAGTCCACCTCGCATTTCTGGAGGGTAGTGCAGCGTGAGTTGGGCACGCGGGTTGAGCTGAGCACAACATTTCATCCTCAGACGGACAGACAGTCCGAGCGTACTATTCAAATCTTAGAGGATATGCTCCGCGCCCGTGTTATTGACTTCAGAGGTTCTTGGGATTAGTTCTTGCCGTTAGCGGAGTTTGCCTACAACAACAGCTACCAGTCGAGCATTCAGATGGCCCCCTATGAGGCATTATAAGGTAGACGGTGTTGGTCGCCTGTTGGATGGTTTGAGCCGAGGGAGGATCAGTTATTAAGTACATATTTGGTATAGGATGCCTTGGATAAGGTTAAGTCATTCAGGATAGACTTAGCGCAGCTCAGTCCAGGCAGAAGAGTTATGCCGACCGTAAGGTCCATGATGTTGCATTCATGGTCGGAGAGCGTGTGTTGCTCCGTGTGTCACCCATGAAGGGTGTAATGAGGTTTGGAAAGAAGGGCAAGTTGAGCCCTAGGCACATCAGGCCTTTTGAGATCCTTGAGTGAGTGAGAGAGGTGGCCTGCAGACTTGCGTTGCCACCAGGCTTATCAACGGTACATCCAGTATTCCATGTGTCCATGCTTTGGAAGTATCATGACGACCCATCTCACATGTTAGANACGAGGTCAGCCTGTTGAGGCAGCTACCTGGGAGTCCGAGTCCGATAAGCGGAGTAGATATCCCCACCTTTTTCCTAGCTCAGGTACTTTTCTATGTTCGTTTGAGGACGAACGGTTGTTTTACAAGTGGAGAAAGTGATGACCCGATAGGTCATCTTATGATTTAAAATCAAATTCTATGTTCCGAGGCCTTAAAAACCTTATCTTATCCCTCCTCGATTTGCATACGCAGTCCGAGCGTATTTCTGGAAAGCTTTTGTGTTGAAAGTTGATGAAAATAATAATTTTTGCCTTTAAAAGTTGATTTAGTTGACTTCGGTCAACGTTTTGACTAAACAGACCCGGATTCGTGTTTTGACAGTCCCGGTGGATCCATATCGAAATATGGGACCTGGGCGTATGCCAGGTATTGGATTCGGGTCCCTAGCCCTAGTTATGAATTTTTGTTAAAAAATGTAAGTCTGAAAATTTAATGGTTTAATCTATTTGCTTCCAAATTAAATAAAGAGGCAAAATATTGTACATCAAACCACATCAATTTACTACTATACTCAATATGTTATTCCCTTGATAATGCTAAGTATCCGCCTTATTATAATTGATCTGCATCACTAGCTTAATTGCCCGTTGGATTTTCTCAATTGTAAAACTAAATAAAGCTGTTAAGGGCAATTATATATTTATTCACTTAGAGAAAAACAAGAACAATAAATGGAATGATCAATAAAAAAAAGTAACCGAACATTAGATTTATAATAATCAATACGAGAACCATATAGTCTTGCTTTTACAGATACATAAACAGATAACATTTTATATGAGACGTGTGAAATAATTTATGCCAATAACTTAATTAACACAAAACATTTGCAGTGCACCCTTTTGTATTTCTTATTTTCTGTATCTATTTGAGATTTTACATTAAGCCTGATACATAACATGCTTTAGCTCAATTTTCTGTCTAATACCTCGTCGAGAGAAATTCTGTTTTTTCCGGATGTCCATTATCTTCTACAAGAAGAAAAAAGTTGTTCAAGTGCCTTTTCAAGAATTCATGGTTAAGCTGATTTTTATATTGCAATGTTATGATTTTTAGGTCAATAGATATGCCTTCTCTTTAACTGACCAGTTCTGAAAACTATGCATTGTGTAGTAGAGCTGTGCGTATTGGATTGCTAGGTAAGTGTAAACTAGGATTTGTAGATGGCCGATTTCCTAAATCTAGGTTTGAACCTGAATATCATGACCTCTGGGAGAAGGTGAATGTTGTTGTCTTGTCATCGATTATTGTCACGCCCCAAACTTGAAGAGGCGCGGCCGGCACCCGATGCCATACCCAGCCCGAGCTTATGTCTCTGTAACTGTGAACTCTGAAGGACTAGCCCTCAACTTAGGCGGGCAAGACCTATCTCCAAGCTGACAATACTAGTCAAGGCCGATGAGGCAATATTCTGAATTATCTGAAAATAACGTCTACAACCAGCAATACCAAACTAAACATCTACATAGGCCCGGCAAAGCCACAATACTAATATACAAAATATACAGGACTCGTCTACAAGCCTCTAGAGATAACTGAACTGTATCATGGTCGAGACAGGGCCTCGACCTACCCATCAAACCTGTATATATAAAATGGACTCCAAGTTATAGACCCGGTAACTCTGAGGAAGTGGAGCTTACCAACCAAGCTGATGTTTGACTATGTCTAGTGGGAAGGTCTATCAAGTTGTCTATCAGGACCTGCAGGCATGAAATGCAGCGTCCCCACCAAAAGGGACGTCAATACAAAATAATGTATCGAGTATGTAAGGCAACATAATAACTGAAAGCTAAAACTGAACTGATAATATAATAATTGAAAGTACCTGGGAGTCAAATATAATTTGAAGATATGCTTACTTGCTAATACTAACTCATCTCTCTCAACATAGTAAGTAAAATAGTTGTTCGGCCCTATAAGACTCGGTATGTGTAACTGTTTTGCCGTAGTAGGCTCGCTCATAGGAGATCGGCCATACTAGGCTCTTTATCCCAGCCATTCTAAGCTCGGTCATAGGCGCTCGACCACAGTAGGTCGGTATATAACTTACCATCTGATCAGAGGTTGCCCAATAGGGGCCTGCCCACCGATTATAGCTCGGTGGTGGTGAAAATACTATAATATTATATATATATATATATATATATATANTATATATATATATATATATATATATATATATATATATATATATATAGACTCACTGCTCTCTTGGCCGAAAGAATACAATACTAAATTGAATACAAAGTCCCGATAAGGGACAATACTGTAACTAATTATAAGACTAGGATAATATACATAAGTCCGGAATACGAACTTCTCTTTATGTCTCGTTATCAAACGCATGTAATTACGGGATCATGCCAAAATGAAGGAAAGGTTTAGCCTTAAATGCCTTATCATAATATTTCCAATAACCATGTTGAAATCGTCTCTTTTCACCTTAATCTACACCAACGATAACAATACTATCATTAAGTTACGAAAGATACAACTTTCGCATAACGAACGACAAACTTATTTTATATTAAGACGGGCAGCATCTCCCCTATAATCTTTACTTTCTTCCAATTCGAGATAACACCAAAAACACAAGAACACAACAATAACAACATATGTACATTGTTTTCCAACCTTATATACACAACAAAGTACTACAAAATAACTCAACACAACCCAATCTCTTTATACACAAAACGACCATCATAGTAGTGTCAAATAGCCCGAAAATGTTACGATGAACGACCAGCCCACCACCCTACATTTATGTGGTATTTCTCCACACCCTTTCTCCTCCAAAACACCCTAAAATAGTATCAAAACACGCAATCCAACAGCAACAGGAAACAACCCATAAAACAGTCGACTACAAGTTGAATCTCGAACTTACGGCTTCCGATCACCGTCTCGTGAGTTCTTACAATTATAGAACGATTTTCCATATATTTCTAGAAATAAAAATGGATGAAAGAGAGAATTAAACTTACATTATTTGTTTAATATCTCCTCTCCTATCTTGGTTTTTCAAACCCTAGGTTTTCCTCCAACTAGAACTTGAAAAGAAGAGAAAATCAATTAGGGTTTGTGTTTAATTTTGGGAGAATTTTTGCAGGGGATTATGTCTGGTTATTTTTCTATATAATGAGTGTTATATTTTCAGGAGATAATCCCTTAAAAGGTATCTTTGGCCGACCCAAAATAGCCCCTTTTTGGACATATTTAGTCCTCTTATTTAAGCAAGTAGGTGACACACCTACTTGTCACCTAGTAGTATCTGCAGTCTCGCAAAAATGCATATATCTCTCTACTCCAATGTCGTATTGACAAACAGTTTAATGAGTTAGAAACTAGACTCATAGATATTCAATTTGGTATGTTGATCATCCCGTAATTCCAAGTATATTGGGAGAAACACGCAGCTACATTTGACCTAATTTCAGCACATTTATGAATGTAACTTGTGATGACCTTTGCCAACTTTTGTTCCATAACTCTCTTGACTTAAAACACGACTATCATACGACTAGAATAACTCATAACATAACCTCCTTATCATGTTAAGTACCCTATTCTTATCCCAAAAGCACATGTTATAATGTTCCCAACTTGTCGACTTTCGACGAAATTTATTTTCTTCAATTCCTTAGCTTCTGAACCTTCCAACCCGCCTTGTATTTGTTGTTCATGATTTTCAATATTTGTAACCTCCGATGTAACATGATAACTTACTTTATATACTTCCAAAGATGATCTCATTTTAGGTGTTACATTAGTTTTCTTACAACGCACTTTTACATACGAAAATATGGGATGTAACATCATTCCCCCCTGAGAAACATTTGTCCTCGAATGTTTACTTTTAGAGACTTTGGAAATTTTTTTCCATAGTCTCCTCCGTACACCAGAGAAAAACCAACCTGCACGCAGCCAAAAAACGTACTATACATGTCACACATGGCCAATGTCTATAAATAGCAACACTTGGCCTCATACGGCCGTCAATCGTACATACTGAAGGTCAAAAATAAGAGCTTACCTGATGACTTTCTGGCTTGAATAGAGTTGTGCTGAAGTATCCCATTTCGAGCCATATCTTCAGTTTGAAATAGGTGGGGATATTTAGACTTTATTTCTTCCTCCGCTTCCCATGTCATCTCTTCCACGTTCTTGCTTCTCCATAAAACTTTCACGGAGGTTACCTCCTTATTGCGTAGCTTGCGGATTTAACGGTCTAGGATGGAAAATGGAACTTCCTCGTACGATAAGTCCTCCGTAATCTGTACATCATCAGTGGGCACCAATCCGGTAGGATCGCCAATGCACTTCCGTAGCATAGATACGTAAAAACTGGATGGACAGACTCTAATTCTGAGGGCAAATCTAACTCTTAAGATACTTGGACCACTCTCTGAATAATCCTATAAGGCCCAATACACCATGGGCTAAGCTTTCCTTTCTTACCAAACCTCATCACGCCCTTCATAGGTGATACCTTTAAGAACACCCAATTATCAACCCCAAACACTAAGTCTCGTCGCTGCACGTCGGAATATGACTTCTGACGACTCTGGGCTGTCAACAGTCGCTCCTGGATAAGTTTTACCTTCTCTACGGCATGCTGAATCAAGTCTGGCCCATGTAACCTAGAGTTTCCAACATCAAACCACCCTACAAGGGATTTGCATTTACGCCCATAAAAAGCCTCGTACAGATCCATCTAGATGCTAGAGTGGTAATTGTTATTATATGCAAACTTGATAAGAGGTAGATGTTCATCCCAACTTCTTTTAAAATCCAACACACATGCTCGTAACATATCCTCGAGTGTTTGAATTGTGCGCTCAGCTTGTCCATCAGTCTGTGGTTGAAAAGTTGTGCTAAGATTCACCTGAGTCCCTAGACCTCTCTAAAATGACCTCCAAAAATGTGCTGTACACTAGGCCCCACGGTCAGATATAATAGATACTGGTACTCCGTGCAGCCGCACTATCTCCTTAATATATAACTTCTCATAATCTTCGGCTGTATATGTAAATCTGACTGGTAGGAAATGGGCTGATTTCGTGAGCCTATCGACTATCACCCATATACAATCGAACTTACGATGAGAACGAGGCAAACCCATGACAAAGTCCATGTTTATCGCCTCCCATTTCCACGTCGGGATCTCTATAGTTTGCATTAGCCCTCCGGGCTTGCGGTGCTCTACCTTCACAACTAGGACACTGGGAGACAAGCGTAGCAATGTTCTTCTTTATATCGTTCCACCAGTACACATCCTTAATGTCATGATACATCTTCGTTGACCCAGGATGAATGGAGTAACACGAATAATGTGCCTCTGACATAATCATGTCTCGTAGCCCTGGTACATCTGGGACACACAAACGACCCCTTTATCTGAGAACCCCATTTTCCTTGAGCTCTAACAGTGGCTTCTTCTGTTGCGGAACTCGCTCTCTCAACTCGACAAACTCTGGGTCCTCGTACTACCTTTCCTTGACTTCAGCTATGAGAGATGATTTTGCAGTATTTTGGAGTATAACTCCACCGTCGTCAGAATCTACTAACCGAACCCCCAAAAAAGCCAATTGATGAATCTCTCTAGCTAATTCTTTTTTCTCAGCCTCTACATGTGCTAAGCTACCCATAGATCGGCGACATAAGTCATCTTCTACAATATTAGCTTTCCCTGGATGGTAGAGAATGTTAACATCGTAGTATTTCAATAACTCTAGCCATCGCCTCTGTCATAAATTCAATTCTTTTTGCTTGAATATATATTGCAGGCTTTTATGATCTGTATATACATCAACATGAACACTATATAAATAATGCTGCCATATCTTAAGTGCATGGATAACCGCAGCTAACTCGAGGTCATGGGTCGGATAATTGCTCTCGTACTTCCTCAACTGCCTTGAAGCATACACAATTACCTTCCCATGTTGCATCAGGACACATCTTAACCTGACGCCTGAGGCATCACAATACACAGCACGGGGCGTGACAATTATGAATGTTGTTAGACCAGATATGGTAAACAGTGTAATTTATACTTCTAATGCACACAAATTCAGAGCAGATTTAAAAACGAGGTTTGACAAAGTTAATGGTGCTAGGATTCAATATCTTCATAAGGAGATTCACTCCCTGACTCAGAGAACTATGACAGTTGCTACTATTTTTCGAAACTAAGAGATCTTTGGGATGAGTTTGATGCACTCATACCCTATCCTGGATGTCCCTGCCAAGGAAATACCAGGAAAATTATGAGTATAAAAGGTTGCTGCAATTCCTAACTGGATTAAATGAGTCACATATTCAAGCTAGGAATCATATTATGATGATGTATCCAACACCTTCTATCAACAGAGCCTATTCCCTGATTATAGACCAGGAAATAGAGGTGAGCATAATATCGGCTGAATTATAAATTTTGATGGTTCGGTTTCGGTTTAATCAGTTATTCGGTCGGTGTGCTGTTGACAAATTATTAATTTTGCTGTTCGGTGAGGTTTACGGTTATGGTGCTTTGGTTGTTCGGTTAACCAAAAAATCGAACTATGTTATATGGAATAATAATTACTATTATTATTAATATGTTTTGAAAATTATATCTTATGGACTCCTGAAAGCCCAATTTGGACACCTAGTCAACTGGGCCAGTGGCCCTACTATCATTAATTGGTAATTGACTAATTGAGAAATAAGAAATCATAGATATTATAAAAGAGGATTCATCAGATTTTAGGACTTTAGACAAGTTGCTGCTGCCACATCTCTTATTCTCTTCTGACTTCTGTTGCTTATCCGTCGGTTATCGTCGTCACTCCCGCTGATTGCTATTCCACTGGCCAATCACCTCATTATTATTATTATTATTATTATTATTATTATTATTATTATTATTATTATTATTATTATTCTTCAAGTAAGTTTCATTTTTTTCCAGTGCCAAAATAGACATTACAAGACCTGAGAGTTCTACTTCGTTGTATTATTGGAATTAGAGACTTGAATTCAAATCCTTTTTACACTTATTTTTTGAATCTAGTTCCTTAATATCCTGTGGTTGAGTTTGTATTATGTATAGTAGTTTTTTTCTCTCTTTTCATTCAATTTTCTATAGATGGCAGAAGCCGAAAGTATAGTAAGTGAGGTGGGTTCAAGCGAAAGTGAGCCTACTTCTTCACCTACAAATTCAGTTGAAACTAGTCAAGATCCAAAAAAATGAAAATCCATACAATCTAGATGAGAAGCTTGGGATCATTTTGAAAAGTTTAAAGATAGAAATGGAGTTGATAGAGCGATGTGTAAATATTGTAGTCGTGACTAAAAGGCTTATACACGATTGAATAGGACAACATCCTTGAATACTCATTTAAAGAAGTGTCCAAAAATACCACAAAATATAGATAGTACTCAAACACAATTGTCTTTTAAAAAAAATGGGCACATAGAGATGGAGTGCTACGGAAATTTGATCAAGAACTAGTTAGAAGGGCTTTAGTTGAGATGATAATTATAGAGGAAATACTTTTTAATTTTGTTGAAAGAAAGGCTTTAAAAAGTTTATGAGTACCTCCAACCTTTGTTTCATGTTCCTTCTCGTAGAACAATTACGAGAGATTGTTTTCAAGTTTGTGGTGAAGATAGACTAAACTATTGAAGATTTTCAGAGAAGTAAAACCAAAAACTTACCTTACCACCGACACATGGACTTCGTTACAACGAATAAATTATATTTGTCTTACTGGTCACTTTATTGAGAGAGATTGGGTGTTGCATAAAAAAATACTAAATTTTATCCCTATCTCTATTCATAAGGGTGAGTAGATGGCGAAAGTTATTGGCAATTGTTTGCTTGAATGGAGATTAGACAAGGTATTCATTTTGTACGAATGCCAATGTTTCTTCCAATGATGTAACGATCAAAGAATTGTCTAAACAATTAGATATGTGAAAACTAATTTGATGAGTGGTGATTATCTTTATGTGAGGTGCATGGCTCAAATACTCAATCTAATTGTGATCAATTTTCTGTTAAGCGTGTTACACAAATTGTGAGGTATGTGAGATCATCACCTCAAATAACCTTAAAGTTTAAGGAGTGTTATGCACATCAAGAGGTAGAATGTACCAAAACATTATGTTTAGATGTTCCTATTAGGTGGAATTTCACCTACTTCATGTTGGATACGCCACAAAATTCTGATAAGGCCTTTGATAAGTTTCATCTTTTTGATGATGGATTTTCTACTTATATTTGTTCTCATATTTGTGAAGATGGGAATACTGTAGGTCCACTCGAATGTGATGATTGGGTGAATGTTAGGAACGTGATAAAGTGTAACGACCCGGCCAGTCGTTTCGAGAGTTGTAGTCCGATTCTCCCATTTACTGCTCCTTTTGTGCTCTACAACTGTTGTATAACTTATCGGGTTAGTTGGTTCGGGTTCGGAGAGATTTCGGAGTGTATTGAGATATTTAGTCTCTTAACTGAAAGCTTAAGTTGGAAAAGTTAACCGGACGTTGACTTATGTGTAACGACCTCGGATTTGAATTTTGATGGTTCCGTTAGCTCCGTTAGGTAATTTTGGACTTAGGAACGTGTTCGGATTGTGATTTGGAGGTCCGTAGTAGAATTAGGCTTGAAATGGCAAAAGTTGGAATTTTGGAAAGTTTGACCGGGAGTGGACTTTTTGATATCAGGGTCGTATTGGATTTTTGGAAATTGGAATAGGTCCGTGGGGTCATTTGTGACTTATGTGTAAAATTTGAGGCCAATCGGATGTGATTTGATAGGTTTTGACGTCGTTTGTAGAATTTGGAAAATTTCAAAGTTCATTAGGCTTGAATCCATGTGCAATTCGTGTTTTTGATGTTGTTTGAGGTGATTTGAGGGCTCATCTAAGTTTTTATGATGTTTTGGGACTTTATGGTATGTTTAGTTGAGGTCCGGGGGGCCTCGGGTGAGTTTCGGGTAATTAACAGATCATTGTTGGACTTAGCATCTTGGCTGAAGCCTGCTGGTGTAATTTTCTGGTTTCCTCTTATGCGTTCGCGAGAGGGGTCTTGAGTTCGCGAAGGGCATCTGTAGGTTCAGGAATTTTTTATCTTTGTGTTCGCGAAGAAGGGGATGCAGACGCGAAGGTTTGGACTGAGAGTGCATTGCGAACGCGGGAGTGGTGACGCGTTCGCGAAGAGGTATTGAGACAGCTTGGGACCCCAAGCTTTTGGTCTACGCGTTCGCGGGCAGTGGTCGCATTCGCGAAGAGTGGGGTTGGAAAAGCTTCGCGTTCGCGAAGGGTTATTTTGAGGGTCAGTCAGAATGGTCTACGCAAACGCGAGAGGAAGGTCGCGTTTGTGATGAAGGTATATCTGGGCAGAATATAAGATTCAAAAATGAGCTTTTTTATTCATAACATAAAATTAATTTGGGAGCTCGGTAGAAGGCAATTTTCGGAGAGATTCTTGCGTGGATGTTTGGAATAAGTGATTCCTATCTAATTTTTGTCAAATTCCATGATTATGCCTTTAATTCCACCATCTAATTTGTGATTTGGGGCTGGAACATTGGAAAAAAAGGGGAAGAGTTCTTGGGCTAGATTTTTGAGGTTTTGAATGGGATTTTGTTATCGGATTTGAGTAAATTTGGTATGGTTTGACTCGTGAGTGAATGTGCTTTCGGGTTTTGTGACTCACGCTACACCC